GAAGATATTGGGACTCACCAGAGTGTAAAAAGAGGTTTTTTCTGGAAAACTTGAATCGACTCCTTCCAAGAATGTTCAGAAGCAAAGATGGGTCTGCTGGCTTTAAAGCTTCAGTAAAAAGGTTGGGCAGTTGACAAACGAAAGGAAAGAGGTCTCCGGCGAAGATTCAGGCAAGGGCTCTCTATGAAGAAAAGTTCAAATCGATGAAATGAGAAAAGAGAGAAAACCCCTTTATATATAGCACCTATCCCATCATTGGGTGTGAAGCACAAAACGACGCATTTAATGCGCACGACATCCTAAGCAGGGAAAACGGCTAGGGGCAATGATGAAGCAGTTGGGGTTGTTGCAAAACCCTTCGTCTCCTTACAACGCGTGTCCTCGGTGTCAGAAGATCGAAGGCTGGGGGGCAGTTGATGGGACATTTTCAAAATACTCCAAGATGAAGATACATGTCATCGGTGTCACTAATTCTTGTTATCGAAATCACGTACCTATCAGGTCAAAAGTCCCCTTTACCCCGAGGTATTTATCATGGATGGATTGGCATCCAGTACGTTTATATGTACCGACAAGTGCCCTCGGTCTGATATGGTATATCAGTCGCTAGGCCTCCCCCCTCTCGGTTCCGAGATGTACCTCTTCCTCGGTTCCGAGATGTACCTCTTTCTCGGCTCTGAGATGTACCTCTTCCTCAGTATCGAGATATACCCCTCTCATCCAGGATAAAGTTCTCTGCTCCAGCAGAGCCTATTGATGCACTGGTAACTAGCCTAGGCTAGGCTAGGTTAGCTATCATGACCTCGTCTTACACAATTGGTGTCAGAAGGCACAGGAAGGCGGGGGCCACAGCCAATGAGGAATGGACGGGTGGTATATTGTGTCACATCAGAGACAGAAAGACTGCATGACCTTGCTGACACGCGACTTGGAAAAACAAGCATTTAATTACACCATTCCCTTGATGAGACCGCATTCAATGCGGTAAGGCTCGGAAGTGAAAGACAATAAATGTCTCTAAGGCTGGACATTTATTGCATCCTCTCCGAGAGGAGTTCATTGAACCGTCGGCAGGCCGATGACACAGTCTTGATTGCTCAGGATCCCGAGTAGTTAAAAGAGAAGACATTTCTCATCAGAATTAGTGCGCACACTGCCTGTACCTAATGATCACCTACTGACTACACTGACAGCAATCATGAGTTTTTGAGGTATAAATGCTCCTCGCAAAAGGCAAGACGGTATGCAACAAAAAATCTTTGCTATAATACATACTCAGTGTTTTCTTCTTCCTCTCTCTCTCAAAGATTGACTTGATCGTCGGAGGGGATACGCCGGAAAACACTCCGGCGCCCTTCTAATTTGTTCTTCTTTGTTCCAGGAACCTTCCTTCAGCCTTACTAGATCGTTCCTTTGATCCACGAGGGTCTCCCATTACCGTTCCAGGTTACCACAGGATCTCACAGGTTGTTCCAAACAGCAGGGTTGACCATTCGACTGACTCACTCGAGTTCACCAAGGGAGAGATCTGTTCTCGTTTTTATATTATGCAAGATCCAGCACGCACAGAATAGATGTCCTTAAAAATATGATAAACTAGAACCAGAGCGTCTAAATTTTTTTCCAAAAACATGAGTTTACGATTGGTTCCAGCTCCGACCCAAAAGTAAAAATTCTAATGGGAAACCATCCCTACCCTGGTTCCTTTTTTAATCACCTGCAAGTAACACCGGTAAATAGAAATTGTAATCACCTGTCTATCGGTCAAAATCATAAGTTTTTCAAGAAAAAGCTCTCCATTGAAAAAATATATGATTAAAGTTTATATTCAATTAAATTTATTTTTGGAATTAATTAGATTACCTAAAAATTATTTTTTTAGTACAATATTTTAGCTNTGTCATCGGTGTCACTAATTCTTGTTATCGAAATCACGTACCTATCAGGTCAAAAGTCCCCTTTACCCCGAGGTATTTATCATGGATGGATTGGCATCCAGTACGTTTATATGTACCGACAAGTGCCCTCGGTCTGATATGGTATATCAGTCGCTAGGCCTCCCCCCTCTCGGTTCCGAGATGTACCTCTTCCTCGGTTCCGAGATGTACCTCTTCCTCGGCTCTGAGATGTACCTCTTCCTCAGTATCGAGATATACCCCTCTCATCCAGGATAAAGTTCTCTGCTCCAGCAGAGCCTATTGATGCACTGGTANCCTCCCCCCTCTCGGTTCCGAGATGTACCTCTTCCTCGGTTCCGAGATGTACCTCTTTCTCGGCTCTGAGATGTACCTCTTCCTCAGTACCGAGATATACCCCTCTCATCCAGGATGAAGTTCTCTGCTCCAGCAGAGGCTATTGATGCACTGGTAACTAGCCTAGGCTAGGCTAGTTTAGCTATCATGACCTCGTCTTACACAATTGGTGTCAGAAGGCACAGGAAGGCGGGGGCCACAGCCAATGAGGAATGGACGGGTGGTATATTGTGTCACATCAGAGACAGAAAGACTGCATGACCTTGCTGACACGCGACTTGGAAAAACAAGCATTTAATTACACCATTCCCTTGATGAGACCGCATTCAATGCGGTAAGGCTCGGAAGTGAAAGACAATAAATGTCTCTAAGGCTGGACATTTATTGCATCCTCTCCGAGAGGAGTTCATTGAACCGTCGGCAGGCCGATGACACAGTCTTGATTGCTCAGGATCCCGAGTAGTTAAAAGAGAAGACATTTCTCATCAGAATTAGTGCGCACACTGCCTGTACCTAATGATCACCTACTGACTACACTGACAGCAATCATGAGTTTTTGAGGTATAAATGCTCCTCGCAAAAGGCAAGACGGTATGCAACAAAAAANGTCTATCGGTCAAAATCATAAGTTTTTCAAGAAAAAGCTCTCCATTGAAAAAATATATGATTAAAGTTTATATTCAATTAAATTTATTTTTGGAATTAATTAGATTACCTAAAAATTATTTTTTTAGTACAATATTTTAGCTTTGAAAAAATATATGATTAAAGTTTATATTCAATTAAATTTATTTTTGGAATTAATTAGATTATCTAAAAATTATTTTTTTAGTACAATATTTTAGCTTTTCTGATGAAAAAAATGTGATGCGTTCAAAATTTTCATATTATATGACAAAATGCAGAACTATGACATAATATCGTATCATATTTTAATTTTCCATCCAATAAAAATGTAGGATATGTAAAATATTTATATTTTATTTTTACAACACATATTTGAATCCATTAAAAAAAAAAAAATCGAACTGATCCAAGTAAATTTGTAAGACGAAAAGTAAATTTATTATATTTCAAATTCGATTCTGAACATTAATAGATTATATTTCAGTTTACGATTTTGGATATTAGATATATCTAAATTTTATTAGGATTGTTATCCGACCTGAATTATATGTATAAAATAAAATAATTATTTGGTGAGATTGTTTCAAAATTATGATGTAATTTGCTAAAATTTTATTTCAAACTTATTCAGATCAAATTGAATTTTTTATTTTAACAAATTAAAATTTGAATTTTTTATTTTAACGAATTCAAATATAATTTTTTATGTTAATAAATTCAAATATGTGTTGTAAAACTAAAATATAAATATTTTACATATCCCACATTTTTATTGGCTGAAAAATTAAAATATGATACAATATTTTGTCATATAATATGAAAATTTTGAACGCGTCACATTTTTTTCATTAGAAAAGCTAAAATATTGTACCAAAAAATTAATTTTTTGGTAATTTAATTAATTCTAAAAATAAATTTAATTGAATATAAACTTTAATCATATGTTTTTCTAATGCAAAATTTTTACTTGAAAAACTTATAATTTTGACCAATGGACAGATAATTACAATTCTTATTTACTAGGCGAACAGCAGGGGCTGCTGTTCGCCAGGAACAACATAGGAGCCGGATCCCCCACTCAGGTGCTTACTTTTTTTCAACTTTTTTTGTCATTTTCTTTTTTTGGCGACACACTTTTGAGTCTTTTGGCGTTATTATTATTTGAGTCAAATAAAATTTATTTTTTTATATATTAAAATTTTAAACTATTAAAAATTAATTTGAGGTGATTAAATTTTATTTTTTTTTACGTATTAAAATTTAGGTCTACTAAAAAAAATTTTATGTATTAAAATTAAAGCCAATTTGAAATCTACCTGAGGTGTTAGCGTCAATTAAAATTTGATTCGAGTCAATTTAAATTTATATTTTTTTATTAAAATTTCGTGTCAATTAAAATTTGATTCAAGTTAATTAAAATTTATTTTTTATGTATTAAAATTTGATTGGATTAAAATTTATATTTTTTTATGTATTAAATGAGAGTTTATTAAAATTTAATTTTTAATCAGCTTAAATAGAATTTTAATCGGATCAAATTTTAATATGTAAAAAAATATAATTTTTAATAGAATCTAATTTTAATACGTAAAAAATAAATTTTAATTAACTCAAATTAAGTTTTAATCGGCCTGAATTTGAATACGTTAAAAAGTTTTAAAAATAGAGGAGGTCTCATTGAAAATACACCTATTTAGAGGAGGTATGGATAAAAATTTTTCCAAAATATAGTATAAATAATTTAATAAAATTATGTTTTAGTTAATACTTTTAATCTGAAAAGAGTGTTAATAAAAATTCAAAAAATAAGAAGAATATTTTTAAAAATATAATAAATTAAAAAAGGAGTAACCGAAATTTTCCCACCTCGTTACGAAAATTTAGTTACTGCTTTTGCCGTATACGAACACAACCTCCCGTCGCACGTCACCCACAGTATTTACAGCACCCCTACGCGCTTCAACTAAATTAAAACATTAACGTGCGGTCAACTATATCCGAAGTAGATAAGCTCCCACCTCATCTGGGCCCCACATTTGTCATCCAATCCGTTAACCCACGCGCTCATAAGACGTGTAAAGTCTATCCTCACCGGTAACAGCCGAATCGCCTCTTTGTGTTGCGTTTTCCTTCGAGATAACGCCAATCCACTGTGTTCCTCAATAATTTTCCGTCGAACCAAACATTATTTTGTAGAAAAGTAGATATGAATTATTAATAGAGAGCATGTACAGTCTTGTCAGATCTCCGCTCGGAACAGTACACCCGCGTTTTCGTCTCGCTCTCTCTCAAGGTTTTCCCGAGAAACAAACAAAATTTTTTCCTCTCAAAACTGTCCACATGTAAAGCTTATTAAATCTAGTCAAATCTTTATCCTTTTGCCTCGAAATTAGCAATTTCAAGATTTTGTTTCTGATTTACTTGTCTTTCTAACTCTTGACCTCCGATTTTCATTCTTATTCCTGATAAAAAATCAAGAGATGATGAGAAGACAACAAGATCAACAATCTGGGGCTTTGTACGAGCTCTCTGCTTTGATTATGAATATTCTCCGATCTCCTCCGTCTTCTGTTGACTTTTCGGATCGGTCTCCGGTGATGCAGCATCAGCCGGGGGAAGTGAGTTCATCTCTGAGGGCTTCGGCTGTGGCGATGCCTCAGATAACGCCGGCGGGTTTCGCGTCGTTACTGTTGGGGATTTCGCTGGCTTTGATGCTATGTGGATCGGTGACGTTCTTCATTGGATTCATATTGATGCCTTGGGTGCTTGGATTGGTCATGGTTTTCTATTTTGTTGGGATTGTCTCGAGCTTGTCGATGCTTGGAAGGGCGATTCTTTGTTACACCACTTCACCCCCCACGCCGCCTAAGGACGTCCCTGGTGAGGTTTCTTATTGTTCTGTTTCGTGAGTTAGTTTCGTAATTATTCTCTTGTTAGAATTTTTTTTTTTTTGAATAGATTGTTCTGTTGATTGTATATGGATTTTGATGTGGTGTGAGCTATAAGGATTAGAGATTCTCACAATTCAGATGATTCTAGGATTAGAGGAATATGGCTTTTGGTTTAAAGTCGATTTTAATTGGAAGGCTGTATTTTAGGCTCCTGAAAAAGTTGAGTTGGAATTCCTTGGGGATTGTTGATTGGTGGCTGCTGAGCTAACTTAGTGCAAAGTCGTATATTTTTTGCCGACAAAAATGTGTTGTTTGGTTGCGGAAAGGAATGGAATTCCTTCTGGGATTCTCTGTTTACTCCTCTCATGTGTGTGGCATTTTCAGCATAAGCATCAAAAAGTGGCATACTTGCATGCTATTTCGTCTTCTTCGGTGATGTATTTTGAATTTTAAAAGATTCTTTCAGAGTCCTAGTATATTGTTTGTTGGACTCTTCCCAGGATCGTTTCTTTGCAGCCGATGCCTAGGTATGGCTAGCAAATTTTTTGAATATCTAGTGCCTCGTCTTTTGGCTACTTATGGTGAACCAAAACATGGTTTTAAGAATTGTACAGTATAACTTTGTTTCACAGTTATCTACTCAGTAGACAAGGTTTTGGCTAGTGTGGTGATGTAGTAGAAATGAAATTAGTTTCTTGAAGGTACACATGAACTTGAATATATCATAAGCTTAGAATTTTTTAGGTTAATTCTTTTCAAAGCCTGCTTTAATATGTTTGATGACGTATATCAATGGGGATGAGTTTAAGGTGAAAGTAATGTGAGATGAGCGTGGATCAGAGTTACGAGGCTTGTGTATGATGCTACCATAAAATATTCAGGGGATAAAAGGGGTGCACACATGAAAATATAGTGGTTCATCGGCTCAGGAGTTCGGCTAGTCCACTCTTCAATGGAGGTTCTTGTTCCTTTTATTTTATTCACGATGATTACAAAGGTGCTATGACTTCCTATCGTCGCTAGGGTTCTCCCCTTGTTAGGAGGTGTTACAGTGCATTTATAGGGTCATTCCCTGCTAAGTGGGATCTTGGCCGAGATTCTTGTCCTTACTTTGTGAGGTTTTCCTTAATTCTAGAAGAAGATCTTGGTTGGTTAGATTAGGTGCCTTGATTATAGCTTCTTAACGCTTTAGGAACCTCTCGTGATTATCCAGCTGTTGCCTTGGTTGTTATTGCCCTTGCTTATCTCGAAGGGACCTCCAACTCTACTCTTCCGAGTTCTGTTTGTCTAGTCTAACCTCTTGGGCTGAGCTGACCTCATAGGCTAGCACTTGGGATTTATTTTGAGGTATCATCAGTTGTCCCCCCCAGCCCTTGGCCCAAGCGAGCTTGGGCATGGGCTGAGTTGCTTTTACCTTGGATCAGACCTGCACCTAGCTGACCTTAGTCTGCATGTGAGATGCACGTGGGAGGGGCTTTTTGACGGTTGCAGCAATCATGGCTCCCTTGGTTCCCGTGCACGCCTCATCCCATGTCTTTCAAGCCTTAAATGCTCAAACAGCTAAAAGAAACCATACAAAACCACCGTTCATTTTCTACGTTGTTCACCTTCGTCTTCGGCTCTTTTTCTCTGTGAATTTTGGGCTTTCCTCCACGCGATTCCCTTATTCTCTGCTCTAAACTATGCTTTCTGGGTTCGACTCGAAGTCCTGCTTTGTTCCTCTCCTCCAATTTTGTTCTTTGGCTATTGTTTGTTGTTCTCTTCTCTATCTAAATACGCTTCCTTCTGTCCCTTTCTTTTTCTCTTGCCTTTCGTCACTCTGGATCCCTCGACTTTGTGGTGGCCATTATTTTTCTGGGTTTTGCGGTTCTTTTTCTTTTAGAATTGTGATCGTTGCCTACCTCCTCTTCCCCGCGTGGATTGGAACTCCACTGTGCAAATTCTTACTGTTGGGAGGTACAGTGCTGACCCTAGGATTATCAGGGGGTGTTTGGTTAGTATTCCTCCTTTTTATCATTTTTTCGACTTGCCTTTCTCCTTGCCAATCATGTCTGCCTTCTTTGGAGTAACTCCTTCCTCTGTTTCCCTCTTAGGGATAAGTCTACTGAAAGAGATTCTGATTTAGGGGATGTAGGTGACGAGATTAACAACTTTCTTGGTATAGATTCTGCCGAGGTAGAGGTGAAAATCGAGGAGGCCCCCTCCACCTCTTTTCCGATGCCTGATAGACCTGATAAGGGCAAGGGCAAAGTAAGTGGTGTGGGAGTCGATGTTTCAGGCGCAAGGGCTGCCTTTAGGAACGTTGAACTTGTAGGTCCCAGCGGACTTACCCCTTCTGACCTAAAGTTTCTCAGTGCTCGCTTTCGTTTCCCCCCAGATGTTCAGTCCTGGAGTCCTGATATGTACACCACATATGTTCATCATGTCCATAAGAAGATCTATTTCTTCTTGGCAGCTTTTGATAACGGACTTCGCTTTCCAAAGGTGTCCTTCAACACTTCAATGTTTGTTCTGCCCAGTTCTCTCCCAACTTCTGGGGTGTTCTTGTGGGTTTATTAGTCTTTTTTAAGGACCATAAGCTTAGGGTCCTTACTGTTTTCTTACTTATAGAGCTATTCAATGTTAAGCAGATTTCCTCTGATGGTTTTCTGTATATCTCCAAGAGGACCAAGGCCCAACAGATCATCTCTGACCTCCCAAGCTCCCATAAGGGCTGGAAGAAACAATTTTTTCTTTGTAGGCGGTACACAGTGAGAGTTCAACTCAGAGGATAAAACTGATACCCTCCCCATCCCTACAGAGTGGTCTGCCCCCGATAATTTGGGTATGTTTTTGCCCAGACCGTATTTAATCCAAGTCTGGTTGCTTTGTTAGCTTATTTCTTGTTTTCCTTGATCTTCTAGCTATCCGACCTAAGCTCAGCGCTGAAGAGGAGTGAGTATTACGGAAATTGGAAAAGTGTAAACTAGAGAAATATTATAAGCTTATCTAAACTTGGGCTCTCGTAGAACACAGGTTCTGTCTTCCTGAGGTGAGGGTTGAAGCTCCCCTTCCATTTTTCGTTGTTGGCCCCATCCTGTTTTCCGTCGAAGATATATCAAGTAACACTTTTTCTTTGTACCCTTTCTCCTCTTTTCTTTGTCTAAGGGCGAGGCTTAGCTATTCTTAGGTCCCGCAGGTTCATCCTCAATGGAGCCCACTGCTGCTAAACTCAGGGCTAAACTTTTCCAAATGAAAAATATCAAGGGCAGCAACAAGAGCAGCAGCAAGAACAGCACCAAACGCAAGTCAGGACCTAGCTCTGCCGATGGCTCCACTCCTCCTAGCAAGGTGCCAAGGACAGGCATGTCACTCACTCCCTTTGCTCCAGCTATCCTAGACTTTTCTTCCCAAAGCGCTTTTTCTGCTACTCCAAGCGCTGCTGCGTCGGGACTGGCATCCCCCTCTATTTCTAAGGTCAAGAGAGCTATGGAGACGACCTCCCGGATCTTGGCCTCTCTTAATCTGCCTGTTGCACCAATCAATCCTCCCCTTCCTGAGGGTTTCAAGACTGTGAAGGAGGAGCCCTTCAAGGCAAGCAAAAGTGAGGGTTCCTTTCTTGATAACCCCGACCTTGCTACAGGGGCCCTCTCCTCTACTCTTCCCAATATTGATATAAAAAGGGCCTTTTCACTGTCTCTTGAGGACTCAATAAGCTCTGTTCTTCACGGATTAACTGCGGTAAGTTCTTGCTCACATTTATGACCTCTTCTTTCTTTTTGAACTTTCCTAACTTTTGTCTATTTTTCTCTTGCCCCAAGTTTGCTATCCATGCCAAGAGCTTGATGAACAGGGAGTCTGCGGAGAATTCTGCCAAAATGGTGAGGGCTTACGAAGTTAAGGTCGCGGAGTTGGCTTTTGAAAATGATGATCTGCGAGCTCAGCTACAAGAACTACAAGACAAAGTGGGGAAGCTGGCTTCCACCATTGAGGGCTTAGAAGTTGCGAAGGCCAGAACTGAGGAGGGGGAGAGAAAGGCTAGGAAAGCCTGGGCCAAGGCTAGTTAGAAGGCTTCTGCTGCTCAGAGCTCTTTTGCAAGTTTAATAAGAGATTTTGTTGCCCTATCTGATGCTAATGGCGCCCTTTGCACCGAGTTTGAAGAGCTGAATGCTGCTCTATCTGCAAAGGACAAAGACATTGCCAAGCTGCGGGATGATGTTGCAACCAAATGGGTCTCTAGGTGACTTGCTTTCCAAGGAAAAGCTGAGGAGACCTACCCTGGTCTGAATTTCGACTTTGATGTTTCTAGCGATGAAGAGATAGAGGTGGCTGAAACAGAAGGTGAAGGTGAGCCCCCCGCCTCTTCAGACGTCCCTGTTGCCGAGCTCCCCTCCCCTGCTAACCTTGCCACTGAGGCTTCAGTTCTCCCACCTTTTGTAGAGGCCCCTCATTTAGAAGCTCCCCTCGTTGGATCTTCTCCAAACTCTGTTGATTTGCCCATCACTTCTGCTGAGCTTCCAACTTTTGAACCTACTTCTGCCCCAGCACCGGCAACTAACCAACAGAACTCTGGCCTTATTTCCCCCTTGGAAACTTAGGATGCAGAACAAGTTTTTTTTTTGTAGCTTTGGACTAATTATCTTAGAATTGTAACATTTTGAAATGGAATTTGAAACGAAAATGTCAGAATTGTAACATTTTGTGTTTAATTTACAACTTATGGCTCTTCTTTTCCTTTGCTTTCCAACTTGTTACTTTATTCTATCATTTATCAAATATGATTTTTTAACTCCTCCCCCTCTTGCTTCAAAGGGTCATTCAGAACTCTTTGAAGCAAAGAAGTTAGGAATAACTGCTGATGTGCCGAGCTGAGCTTTCAGCTTTTGAACCTGCTTCTGCCCCAACTCTGGCAATCTGACCACCAGAGCTCTGGCCTCACGTGATCCTCAAAGACTTAGGACATAAAGCAAGTCTTCTTTCTTTCTTTTTTTTTTAAAATTTCAACTCATAGTTGTACCTCCTTTGTATTAGAGTGTAAC